CCAGTGAAGCAACATCCTCCACAACTAGACTGAAGAACAAAAGGACAGCAACTTGTCTGTTCCCCTTCCCCAATTCCCCAGCGCTGTTCCCATCCCCCCCAATTCCCCAATAAAAATCTTTTTAAAAAAATCAAGTCTGCCAACAACTTGATCTCAGCCATCTAGCCTCCAGAAGTGTGAGAAAATAAAATAAATTTCTGTTGGTTAAGCCACCAGTCTGTGGTACTTTGTTATAGCAGCCCTAGCAAACAATACACGTTTTGTTTGTTTGTTTTTCTCTCATCAGTAAAATGAAATTGGTCATATTAATTAACCACGAAATTAGCAGATGATGTAGCAGAACCAAAAGATTTTGTAAGTAAAATATACTGCCATGCTGTCTTCCTGTGTGAAGAAGAAGCTGATACCAAATTATGTCTAAATATTGATAGTTACTTAGTGTTATAAGGCCTAATGGTCTTTAGACACCAAAGGAACAGAAAAAATGGACATGACATCTCAGGTGACAAGACTGTGGATCTAAACAAGTTATATTGTAAGCTTAAGGACCATTAGCTGCTTTAAAATTTTTTTTTCTCTTTTTACAAGAATAAGAGCTTATATAGTTCTGTAATTTCCTTTTTTCACTTAACAACATCATTGATATTTCTCTGTAACAGAGCAAAATAAGGCCAAATAATATTCCACTGTATAAGCATTTCACTGAATAGATTTACTACAATCTATTGATTCAATTCCCTAATCAGACAGTTTTTCTCAGCTACAGCTTTAAAATGCTGTGAGGAAAGAGATTGTTTTAAAATTCTTTGCTTTTACAATTCCTCAATAAACATGTACAAAAAAACTCTGTCTTCATAGAGCTTATATTTTAGTAGGGAGGAAAAAAACAAAGTAAGTAAAGTACACAGTATGTTAGAAGGTAAGTATTATGGAAGAAAAGCAGGGAAAGAGTAATTTTAAATATGGTGGCCAGGAAAGACCTGTTAATCATCTTTGCTCAGTTTTCTTTTCTTGATATGTAAGAGCTCTTTGCTTGGACAGTAATATATATATATTTAAGTAATTTT